TCCAGTCTTGGGGGGGGGGCTCTATGGCAAGAGACGGAGAAAATGAGGAAGTGGAGGAGGAGGAGGAGGAGGAGGGGGTGGAGCGGCCGTGAGGAGCGGCGTATCTGGCTGGAGCAGGTGCGAGCCCAGTTTTGCCTGGGGGGGTGGCCTTGCCAGCGCACTACAGGTTGGGGCGAGGCGAGGCGCGGCGGGCGTTCCCGCTTGTCTGAGGAAGCAAGAGAGCCGTCCGTGCCACGGCCAGGCTGCACGGCGGCGGGCGCCGTACTCAGCGCGCCACAGACACCCTTGCTGCCGGCCCCGACGGCCGCTCTCTCCCGCCGCCGCCGCCTTGGGACCTCGGCGGTGCTCTGACTGTCCCTGGTGGCTCAGGAGGCAGGAACACATGGAGCAGCCCGAGCTGTTGTGGGTGAACCGCAGCTGCGTCGACGGTGAGTGGACACGCGTCTCGCTTCGCCCCGAGCCCCGGCTCGGAGAGGCAGAGGAGGGGAGGGGACCGGGTCCTGGCGGGGGGGTTGGGGGAGGAGAGACTTTTCCGAGCTGCCCTTCCCCGGTTTGGCCCCTAAAGCACAGGTGGGGCGGCACCTCTAAGTCCGACGGTTGAACGTCAGTATTTCCTCTTTCGTGGGGTCCATGTGCGGGAGATCGCGCGCGGCCCCAGGAAGGGAAACCGCACGCGTCCTTTTTTGCTTTGGGAGGCTTGGACAGGGAGGCGGGCGTGACTTCGGAGGACCGATCGGAAAAGTGGGGGGGCTTCCTTTCACAAGCAGTGACAAGAGGCGCGTTATCAATAACGACGAGCAGGGAAAGCCTCCGGCTCGGAACGAAATTATAACGAACCCCTCCTGGAACTAACTGAACAAGCCCGCCGAGAACTTTAGGACAAGCTGCGCTCAAAGCCCCTCGCGGCGTCTCTCGCCGCTCTTCCCCTGCGCCCTTTGGCCTGTATAATAATGTATAGATCCAATACATCCGCGTGGAGGAAGGGCGGCTGAGATGTGGGCGCAGATCGGAACCTGGAAGGCGTCGCATTCTCTCTCCCAACGCGCAGTTGTGCGAGGCGAGCGCGAACAGAGAAGCGAGGGGAAGGTCGAGATTTTGTAGGCGGGCTGGGTCGTGTCTTGACGGGGCTCTAGAAAGCTCCCGACTGTATGACGAGTCGGTTTTGATGGCAGGGTGGAGCCCGCTTGGTTTATACTGATAAGGTGATGACTATGGTGTGCAAGGAGCAGGCAGGGTGTTTTCGTTTTGGATTTCCACTCCCAGAATCCTCAGATCATGATGTCTGGGGATTTGGGAAGCCCTTAAAGAAAGTGATACAGTGGGGTCTTGACTTAAGAACGGCTTGAGTTAAGAACATTTTGACTTAAGAACCGCTTTCATAGGAAAATATTGACTTGACTTAAGTACTTAGATTTGAGTTAAGAACCCCACTGTACTGTACCTCTGGGCTCCGGGAAGCAAGGTCTATGAGCCCGCCATCGCCTCAGCGGGCTGAAGTTTCCCAGGCCTTCCGACAGCAGTGTCCTCCTCTCTTCCTAATTCTTGCTTGGGTCCCCCCCCCCGCCCGGCCCGTCTTCTTCTAAGTTTATGCGGCAGAAAGCTCTTCAAGGAGGAAAACGGTGGGTTATCCCCACAGGGCCTTTCCCTAGCTCATTTGAAGAGCTCTGTCCGGGAACGCGCCTCTTTGTGGTAAGGGTAAGGAGGGTTTCTTCCTGCCTGCAGGGTAGAGTTGGCGAAATAAGAGGGTTTTTTGGTGTTGGGCAGTTATAAGTTAAAACTTAAAAATCTTGCACTCCCCACACCCCCCCCCCCCCCCCCGTTTTTCCCCCAGGCAAACCAGTACATCCAAGCAACACAAACAGGAATGTGGGAGGAATGTGGTGTGGGGTCTGTTGATGCCATTGCGTGACATAAACAAAGAGGGTAATGTGAGAACTGAGGAACACAGCATGTCAGGAACAGCTTATAACCCCTTTATCAAAAGTCAACAAACAGAAGTGTAAAGAAAATTTAAAAAGAGAAAGAAATATATATATTTTATTTATTTTATTTATTTATTTTATTTATATCCCGCCTATCTGGTCGGTTAAGACCACTCTAGGCAGCAAACAGCATAAAATAGTATAAAATTTTTTAAACAGAAGAAACCTTAGGAGAGGGAGGAAACAATAGGAGAGGGAGAGGAGAGGGCATCAGGAATTGTCTGGAGGGAAGGCCTGCCGAAACATCCATGTTTTTAGTTGATTTTTAAAGATACCCAGCGAGGGTGTCACGCGAATCTCAGGAGGCAGGTTGTTCCAAAGGCGAGGAGCCACCTCTGAGAAGGCCCGATTTCTTGTCTTTTTCTTCCGGCCCTCCCTTGGCGTTAGGCTCCTCAGCCTCACCTCCTGGCTCGCGCAAGTGACACGGGTAGAACTTGGTGGGAATAGGCGTTCCGCCAGATATCGAGGCTCTAAACCGTTTAGGGCTTTGTACGTAAGCATCAGCACTTTGAAGTCAATGCGGAACCGGATGGGCAGCCAATGCAGTGCGGCCAGAGTGGGTGAGATATGTTGGTAATGTACATATATACACGTGTGTGTGTGTGTATGATTATCTGTTTCATTTATCTCTTTCCTCTAAGGAGCTCAAGGCAGTGTATATTGTCCTCATTGTTTCCGTTCTTGTGAGTTAGGTTAGGCAGAGAGAGAGCGGCTGGCCTAAAGCATCTGTGAGCTTCATGGCTGTCTGGAAATCTGAATCTGGGCCTTCTCAACCTAGTCAGGTATTGCAGAAATCAGTCTTCTGAAAACTCATAGATGGAAACTGTTCTTTGTCATGACTTCCCACATGCTGGCAATGAGAAGGCAGAAAAGGAGAGGTTCTCTTTTTCAGGTACAATCTGCATGTGAGCCAAGGATTTTAACTCTGAACCTGATCTTCCAGCGTTCTTGCATGCATGGAGAGCCTACACACGAGCAGGGTCCTCTCCTCACATGTTGAAGACAGCAGTAGAAGGCAGTGTGGCTAGCTGCTTGTCTCTGAGGATATTTAAAACATGAGTCCTGTGAAACCTGAATGGCGCTCTAGTCTTAACACTCTAGACACTGCAGTGTGCTGACTCTCCACTCGGGTTGGGCAACTGGACCCCCCGTGCTTATGGACTACCATACCCTTAAACTCCTCCCCCCCCCATCAATGTTGGCTAGAGTTGATAGAATTGTAAGCATCCTCAGCTGGTGGTTTCTTTCTTGTGAAGAAAAATAAAGGGTTCATGTGTGAAGAGAGATGATTACAAGAGTGAACAGCACATAAGAAAAGGGTATATCATCATACCACTCTGAATACACCATCGGAGAGTGAAGTCTTCTGGGCAGAGTTTGTAAGTCTGTGACTGCGCACCTTCTCTGCATGCAGAAAGCCCCAGGTTTGATCTGTGGCATCTCCAGGGAAGGCTAGGAAAGAAGACTGTCTGAAGCCATCTCGTGATCTGTCTCGCTAAAGAGAGGTTGGGGAGTGGGGCATTCCTGAGAGAGAGGAGATAAGGGGACTTTGCAGAGGAGAGGCAGGTGAGTGACCCAAAATCGGCAGCACCCATCCATTTGTGCTGCGGTGAGGGAAAATTCCGACGTGCAAGTGAGAGGGCAAGGTAGCTGCTTCGCCCATGATCAGCCCTGAATCCTTCGCCACTTCTTTATCTAGGCAGGGGCACTCGCTCAATCCACTCTCTTGAGAGTGCCCAGAAAGGGACTGGTTGGAGGGAAGAGCACTTGCTTGTATATTTCTTGTCAGCCTGCCGTGAAATGTGTCCTGCAAGTGGGAAGGCTCTGTGAGCCAGAGGAATACAGTATACTGGCATCTCCTTGTGGGAACCCAGTTCATACAGTTATTCAGCTTTTCCTTCCCTCAGAGGGAAGGGTCGAGTTTTCAACTGTTGGCCAGCCCTCTGCCTGCATATCCTGTACCTTTGGGCAAAGCAGAATGGAAGAATAGCAAGGACTGAGAGTAAGCCCGCAAAAAGAAGCTGCTCCTTAAAGGAAAATGAGGAGCCATAATTTCTGCCTGCTTCTGTGCCCATTTCTCACTAAATGGTGAGGTCCTTTCATCAGTTGAGGGTAGGAGGGCCGCTCCTTCTGTAACGTGGTGTTTTACACTCACTACAAAGAGGTGGCGGGTGAGAAAGCAGGCAGGGGCACAAGCTCGTACTTGGCGGGCTTTGGTTTCTGTGTGCTTTGCCTTGGCTGAATCTGGATGGGAGCTTTTGCTGCTGTGCCTTAGGGAGCAAAACATCATAGGCAGCCCTGTTGGGACCTCTAGGAGGGGAATAAGGAGGCAGTTGAACTCTGAAAGGAAGGAGGAGGAAAGTCAGGTGAGTTTTACAGGTTGAGGTTTTCCTGCTTGGAGTGTGAAGGCGGCCCAGTCCACTTTGAGAGTTATAGCAGGGGTTGAACCCTCTCACCAGCTAATGTGAGACAGACCTTAGTTCCCTCTCAACCTTTTGCCATTGAATTCCTTAAATCTTGTTCTTGTAGGATCATGAACAATATTTGCTTAGGGCAGAATCTGCTTGCTGCGGTAGACTGCTTTAGGAAAGGAGCTATAGACGTGAAATGATTTTGTTAGTCTTCAAGGTGCAATCGGACTTCTTGTTATTTTCATGTCAGCAGATGAGTATGATATGACTAGAGTTCCAGAAGTGTACTGCTCAGAAAAAGAGGACTGTGTAGCTTCTTTTCCCATACTGTGGGTTCCTCAAATAGAGAGGTTTATCAAAAATGTGTAGATAGGAAATAAGTTCTCTGCGTCAGTGGTCCCCAACCTTTTCTCAACCGTGGACCATTTGGGGGTGCGTGGCATGCCCGTGGGGAGGCAGAGCTCACATGCGCAAATGCACATGTCACGTTTGGGGGGCGCGCACGTGCGCAACGGCACTAGCAGAGAGGTAGGAGATCTGTGTCTGTGGCCCGGTCCTGGATAGGCCGCGGACCGCTGCCAGGTCACAGACTGGGGGTTGGGCACCTCTGCTCTAGGTGACCAAGCTTACAGGTAAAAGTGACCGAAATATATTTTGAACAGTATGGAAGGTGGGAGATGAATCTAGTGACCTTTCCCTGGAATCCCTCTAAAGCCCAAGGCTAGGAGTCTGTGACTGGGGTAACTACCATCCCACGTGACAGCAGAGAAACCAGTAAAATTTCCGAGTTGACCTTAACATAGCCTCAGGCATAAACTCAAAGCAGGTTGCCTGAAGTAGATTTCAACATGCACCAGCCCATTGGAAGGTAATTCCAAGATACTAACTGGGACAGATAGAAAAGGGAGAGGGAGTGTGTGTATGGTGAAGGGAAGACTAGAAGGAAGTTGCAATGGGTTTTCTTTCTGTTATCTATGTGGGAGAAACCATAGCAGGTGGAATGACCATGGGAGAGTTGGAGCCTCTATTCCGATT